CTTCTTCCTAATGTTCTTCCAATTATATATCTTTTCGTTCAAATATTAAACTGCACTGTTTTACAAAAGACGTTAATTTGAAACCTCCCGGCACTGAAAAGGGAAGGTTTTTAAACTTAAACCTGTGAACCTTGATCCGAAGGTCGATTATTTCACTGAAGAGGATAGCGTGGCGTTGTAAGCTGAGATAAGGATAGAAATTGTGATAGAGAGATAACTTTGCTTGCATAGGTAAATTAAAACTACAGCCATGTATAATGCCTATCGAATGAGAGGGGTTTTCAAAGGATTTAAAATATCTCAACATGAAACTTCGGGAAAAGGCCTTCGTCCAAAACTACTCCTATGCATATGAACAAAAACCACGGAGAAATGGCCTTTTTACCAGAGAGGAAAAACGAAAAAATGGCAAAGTCAGACTGAAACATGAAGAACTTAATTTTGGAGAAGAGGGATGAAAGGGGAAGAGAATATGAGGGAATGGCGTCGCCTGGAAGAACGCCAAGATCACAACGAAGGACAGAAGGATAGGACAAAGGAAAGATCAAGAGAGAATCCAAACGTTGCGTGGAGAACACCCAACAACTTCAGCCAACTTGAGAAAGTAACGTAAGCTCGTCCTGTATACCTTTTAGTCAGTTAGAATGACTGTGTTTTTCCCGGTCCATAGACGTCACATATCGCAGCCAAGAAATTTTTCGGATGGGTCTTGCCGCGTCATGTTCGACCATGACATTCGATGTGGTATCTCTCACAACAAGGAAGTCATGGTGCCGACAGGAGTCTAAACAACGTAGTGTTGTTGTTAATTACATGTAGAAAACATTGTTAACACAATTCAGTTGAAAGAAGTGGTAGGCACACACAGCCATGACTCCCAGGAAAGGAAATTTTATCTCATTAAATACACTTTTTTTGATTTTCTACCTCTATAATGCCTTCTGGAGAAGAGCCAAGCCATGATGTATGTATTTGTTTCCTTTTTCGTCGTTTAAAAACCTATATAATCCTAGATTCTCTAATAACCGAATAATCTTTGTTAGATAAATAGACTGACAGGCCTTATAAGAACCTCATTAAATTACCAAACTTGGTTCACTTCAGCGTCAATTTTGCTTCAATTCTTTAATTATCTCTTTTTGTAAATCACTGGACAAATCATTATGATAGTCAAACTTGAGCATCTCCCATTCCTGAGAGGAGCTCTTGGTTGCTGTCTTACTTCCATTGATTCCCCCTTTCAAGGATTAAGATTCTCAGCGATTCTTTTCTTCTATAATTTGTGATCAGAGGTATGGTGTACTTGAGATTCTAGAAGTATCGATCGATCAGTCTTTGGCTAACATTCAAAATCGTCAAGGCTGCTTATCAGACAAATTTCCAAGTACCTTCATAAATGTGGGTTTATTTTTGTATTTTAGGCTGACTATAATATTTGCGTTTGCTTACACAATTTAAGTTACTTTGAGAGGGTTCTATTCGCCATAACGATAACACAGTTCCTTGGCCAGCAAACATTGGCTCGTGTCCTTTAGTACATTCAGATGCCCAAAAAACCTCGTTAATGGCTCTAAAAGCAATTATCAGTTGATTACGCCTTTGATTTGATATATTAAACACATTGTGTTTAATGTTTGTCTTACGGTATACATTCTTTTCATGTTCTGGTGCAAGGCCACTTTTTAGCTAAGGTAACTCCCTTTTTATGGGAATTTCTAAGCAGAGAAAAAGATGTACACCACGAGTGAGTCTCATTCATGATTGTAGAATTATAATTTTTCACAGCTTTTTTTTCCAGCACAAAATAAAGTGCTCTCTCTTTCAATCGTAAGATGAAAAATCCTTTTTTAAAGCAAGTTCATGGATCCGTTTTCATTATAAAATAAATACGCACATAGCAGTCTTGTTGTCATGTTGTCAGCCTGAGTTCACGATCAATTTGAGCCTTTTGTTTGTAGTATAAAAGAGCACGTCGAGTTCTCTTGTTACCTGTTCCATTCTCACTTGGATGAATACAGTTCTGTCTTCACTGGAATCTTCAGTATCGTTGGACTCTTCCATATGGGCATCATCCACTACTGTTTCAGGCATATGATCAGGCGAAATGGATTGAGACCCGAGACCGAGTCGATGCTTTCCGAGAGGCTGATGTTTCAGGCAAATTTGGGCGAGTAGGTCTTTTTCGAGGCGACATTCGGTTTCTGTCTGATGGTAAAAGGAACAGAGTCGGCTGTGAATTATTTATGGTTGGTTGTCCATCAACAAAATGATTAGAAAAAACAAAGGTTTGATTTCCAGGATTAAAGAATTTGAGTCCTTTCTCCTCCTTCGGAAGAATGCACAAAGAGAGGAGAACAAGTTAACGCCTTTGTAACATAGTACAACCCATCAGTGCCAATCAGAGCCTAGTCTTATAAGGATCCTTTTGAATAAGTGTCATTTAATCGAGAATAACCCATTGCTGAAAGAAATATACAAAGTACCACCTCTGATCTCCTATAAAGGAGAAACATCTCGGAAAGTTGTACTTGTTAGAGCTAAACTCTAAAGCTCAAAGCCCTATAGCCTCACGTAACAACAGGAGTCGTGTTTAGCCCATCAACCTCTTTTAACACGTACAGTACAGTACAGTAAAAAAAAACAAAAATACAAAAAATCTTTATGTACCCAGCGTGGTAAAATTCATTGAGGTACCTATAATATGTCAACTGAAAGACCTCTTTAGCTTGTCTGTTTAATTTGTTTGTTTTTCCCCAATGGAGGCCATGTGTTAACACTCCAAAGAACAGTTTCCTTCCACCAAACCTCTTTTATGCAGGTTAAAAACCGATCTTTTTGCTTTCTTTCCGTTATTCATCATCATCATCATTAGTAGTTGTGGTAGTAGCAGTAGTAGTAGTAGTAGTAGTAGTAGTAGTAGTAGTAGTAGCAGTAGTAGTAGTAGCAGTAGTAGTAGTAGTAGTTGTAGAAGGAGTAGTTAGGGTTAGGGTTTAGGGTTTAGGGTTTACACGCTGAACATATACGAGAAGTACGAAAGAGTATCATGAAGGATCATTGCCTGACACATAAGTTTGACCAAAATCCTTCAGCCAAAGGAGAAAGCTTTGCATATATCTTCGTTGATGACAAATTCCAGTTAATCTACTGTACAATCGCGAAAGTGGCAAGTAAGAAAATGAAAACGATATGTGCTCAGCTTTATAATAAGACTTGGAGAGGTGAAAACGTAGGTATAACGTAACTGTTGAAGGGGACATAAAACAACCCACACTATAATTCAAAAAGGGTAGGGGTTAAGTAGTTCCAATGTGATTTGATCTACCACCACCTCTATCATCACTTCAATTATCCAACATATATCACACAGTAGCTCTCAAATGGACCGAAAGGGGCAGCCATAACATTACTGACCTTTTTTAATAACATTATCAAATCCTAAAGGGTTCTGTGAGTTTTACTGGTATCCTTTTCAGTTCAGCCCGCTTCCAAGTATGCCACCATGCCAAAAAAGAGTTTTAGTGCATAGGCTATGCATTGTATATAGTGTATAGGACAATGCCTGAACTTCGAGGCCTTCTTGAAAGTAGTAATGACCTCCTGTTCCACCTTAGTGACCTGTTCTTCCATTTATTAAACACTTATATTTCACACTGAATTTTCGTTTATTGTTTTAGGTTCATTTTTTGTACGTCGTTGGGCAAGAAAGGGTAGACGGGGCTAAAACCTCTTTATAATCACACAGCAGAACATAGAGCGATGCGTTTAAAGACTTAATGTAAGTTCGTGATCCCCTCCATCGACTGCTCTCGGCTTTCAAATACAATTTCATAGGAAACATCACCTCACTAAGTACATCTGCTCGAGACAAAATAGTTAAATCCTATCGGCTTTTCCCGAATTTATAAAATAATACTCTAATAATAGATTGTGCGATCATCATTGGCGTCAATACGAAAAATCTGCGATCCCTGCCCTGTCAAGTATGACTTTATTGGGAGGCTGGACACTTTGTCAGAGGACGGCCCATTCCTACTAAAAATGGCGGGACTAAGTGACCAAATAGATTCCCGCCAGTCCACCAACATACAAGCGTTAACGAGGTACTGAAGTATTACTCTATAGTTCCTCCTGACAACATCAAGCAGACTGGACAAAAGTATTTTAGCGATTTTGCGATGGTCCGATACGTCTTCCTGGGCCGTGTAAAGTCAATCTGGCTGAAAAACTCTTGATTTGAGAAAGTCACTCCAGCTAAGAGTCGACAGTGACCATCCCCATGACTCGATCATGAAATGACATGGGAAATGTGAAAATGAAAGTATGTAAGAACCAAATACTGACAAAGTAGGATAATGACCTCGATGAGAGGCTAGAAAGCAACACAAACATGGACAAAATGGATCAATTTGTAGAGGTAACTTTATAGTAATTCTATGTAACTGTCATCTCTCTCAACAGGAAAAACTTTGGTACCAGCAGGAGTCCAAACAACATAGTGACGTCCTTGAGTGGATGTGCAGAACTTTTTCCAGCATGATTTGCAGGATATGGTGGACACACAGATTTTGGTAAGGAACTGGTTTGAATCCCATGAAAGGAAATTTAATCTCCAGGACTGTTTTCCTTTTGAATTAAAGTCTATGATTTCATCTGATGAGGAACCCTGGCAGTTTCTCCTATAATTAAACTATCTATATTTTTGCCTCAAAAACATTTAGGTAGGTGACAAAATTACTGTATTAATTGATAGAACCCTATAACATTACAAATTTGATTTATCGGTTTCTTTAGTTATTTGATGTAAATCATAACATAAATCATTCTTGCCCAGTAATCATTCAATCATTGCCTTTTCCCCATGTTCCATCCAAGGCTGAGGTGTCTCTGCCAGTTGCTTCCATTGAGTGAACGCATGTGTTTTTATCATGAGAGGCAAGAAATGATATTTTTTGCTTCCTTCTGATATCCTGGTCAACGAGCTAACTACATCTGTTCAACGAATGCAACAAGAAACCGAAAGTTGTGTTTTGGACGAAGATCCATTGGAGGTAAGCAATGAAAAAAGCGAAAACAAATCGTCGCACGTGAGAGCTATCCACCCAAGCAAGGATCTAAATAGATATATAGTGGACAAGTTCCATCAACCTACAGCCAAATCAAAGGCCGCTCCTTTTGAAGCCATCGATCTTTCCATCTATAAACCTTCAGCTAGATGCCTTGCTTTCTCGACATCTGAAGATCGCCTGTTATTATGGATTGTAGCTTTCCAATTTCGCTATTATGAAATAACCGGAAATGGAACCGATTATACTGTGATATGGGAAGAGCAAGACAACCCAAGCTCAACCTCGAAGTGCGATAAAATCTGTATTCATCTTTCAATGAATACATCCACTGGCGAAGAAAAATTGGTAACCATTACAGTTTTTGATACAACTGGGAGGATCCTCGTGCAAGGGAAAAAATATGATGAATGGAGCAAATTCGAATTTCCGGTGATGCTGAAAATTGTCAACACTCTCAGCGATCTTCAACCTCTCTCTTCACTCTCTTCAGTTGGAGATGTTTCTCTCTTTGGAGCCTCGCTTTAAAACTTTTTTACGAATTTCATAACATTTGTCAGAGATGATGACATCCCATCATCAAATAATTTGGACGCCGAACTTCCCTCAACAACCAAACCGGAAGCTTTATTGCCAACTGAAACACTAACAATCTCGCCAACCCGTTTAAAGACAATCTCATCCATGCGAGACACACTCGGGCAGCTAGAGGCAGATTTTACAGAATTTCATATGACCACTACCGGGGATTTGGAACAGCTAAAAGACAAAACCGTTAAACAAGATCACTTAATTAAGCTACAAAAACAATCATCTGACGATCTACTCAATGATTTTTCCTCGCAGATTACATCACTCCAAAAAATAGTCTCTCAACAATCAAGCATCATTAAAAAATTGCAAGATGAAAACCAGAACCTCCACAAGAAACACGTACAAATTGACAAAGCAAATCAGGCCCTGCAAGAATCACAAAATAATCTGATGACAGAAATTCATTTCCTTAAAGAACAAATGACAGCGCTTTGGCAAAACTCGAAGGAACCTGACCCCCCCAGCCCTTCCTCACAACCCGAGTCTTCTTGCTCCGAAAACACCACTGACAGCGAACAAAAAAATACGGACTGTGAGGCATCTCGACTACCCATCACAGCTCAAAAGCTTACAGTAAATATTCCCACGGAAAACAGGTTTTCGCTGCTCCAGAATTGTGACACATCTGACAGCTTATCCAACACACAGCAAGAAATTGTCTCGGAGACAAACACAGAAAATATGACTCCACCTACTCCACAAGACATCGCGCCACCGCCGATCCAAGCATCAGTAAACAATAAAGCCGTTTTTCTGTGCGATTCGAATGGAAAATTTATCGACAAAAGAAAGCTTTTTCAACCAACACAAGATTTCACATTCTTCAGATGTCCCAAAATTGAACACGCAAGGGCTATTTTACAAAATGAAATTGATAAAGAATCGGCTGGACATCCTCAATTAATCATAATCCACACCGGAACAAATGATCTTACTACAACCACGCCAATAGACGACTTCATCTCTGATATATCTGTATTAATCACTCAAGCATCTACAAAGTTCCCAAAGAGCAAAATCGTTTATTCAACTCTCTTGCCGCGAACTGACATTCCCCTGCATACTTTATCCAAAATAAACACAAACCTTATTGACAGCTGCTCAAAACTACCAAACGTCCATCTAGTTAATCATGACAATATCTTCTCCAAGGGAACTGAAGTGTTGCATGACAGAAAACATCTTAAAAAGACACCTTGGTTTGTTCGCAGCAAACTTAAAAGCAGCCATTCGTGGTAGAGGAAAACCACCTCGCGCCAACTCCAGCCAATTGTACCGATCCTCACTCTCTTCGCCGCACTCGTTTCACACTAGCCCTTCGGAAGGCTATCCTCCCTCCAGCAATGGTGTTCGGAACATACACAGCCAAGTCCACCAAACTTCGCGGCAGCAACAACCTTTACCTTCCCGTTTCCCATATACAACTTCCTCGGGTGATGCCTCTTATAGTAATGCTGTTAAAAACGGTCACAACACCTACAACATTCCGCAGTCACCGCAACAGCAACAGAACTTTCCGCCGCAACACTACAATGTACAGAGCTTCTCACCGTCTCACTTAGCGGCAGTGGGACCGATTCCTTCTGTTCCTCTCCAAAACGACTGTGCTGTTGGAAAAGTCCCGGCAGTTGAAATCCCAAAGGAACTGGTATCTTTAATCCAATTTTTTAAGACCCTTGTATAATATCTTATACATAACCCACAACTTTCAATGCTAGTTGTTAGCTAGTTTGCCGGGATATCTGATTTAAGCTTTCTTTTCTTCAGGTACTAAGTTTGATACAATATGCCAGGACCCTTAAGTTTCCCCAGCAAATTATCTTTTTTCGCTTGGAACATTAATGGGCTATCGTCGACATTATTAGGGGAAAAATTGCAAAATTTGGATTGTAAAACCTTGATTAATTCTTTTGATTTCGTAATTCTCTCCGAAACATGGAAAAAAGTGACTGTTGAAGTAAACGGTTACAAGATTGTGACTACAGATACCTTGAAAACAGGAAAATGCGGACGTAACTCGGGTGGATTAGCTCTGCTCTACAAACTAAAGTTTGACGATTGGATTTCAGTGCAAAAAGAATCACCAAATTTTTTATGGTTTAAAATTAGTAATCGCTACACAAAAACTACAAAAGACATTTATGTCTGTGGAACGTACATTCCACCATACAATTCCCGCTACTTTCGACCTGAACTATTTGAAGAGCTTGAAAGCGACATCGAGAAATTCTCCTCCCTTGGTTCAATTCTTATTATGGGAGACTTTAACTCCAGAGTCGGAAAACACCCGGACAGTGTTTGTCAAGAAGGTAATAAGATAATAACAAACGATTTTTCTGAATCTTCGTTATGCGCCACCCAAAGAAAAAGTTTTGACAATGATTTGAATAATCACGGAAAACGACTCTTGGAAATTTGTAGAAGCGCGGATTTAAGAATTTTAAATGGTAGAATTAATGGCGACTCGTTAGGCAGACCTACATTTCATGGTAAATCGGGAATCAGTGTCATTGATTACTCCGTATGTGACCAAGATTTGCTACGAAATATAACATCTTTTGTAGTGAAAGAGCCGAACAGTTTATCAGATCATAGTCCAATAATAACATGGCTTAAGGTTAACCGTCATTTAGATAATGATTCATCAAACGAGGCAATTATAAATGATTCTTTGACTCCTCTACCAAAACAGTTTTTTTGGGAAAACGATTCGTCACAAAAATTTAGAGCTACATTACAGTCTGAAGACATTCAAAGAATGATCCACGATTTTATGAATACTACAACAATCACGAGAAATGTTGACATGAACCTTCATGCTGTAGAAAATATTCTTATTTCAACCGCCAAACGCTGTTTGAAGATCAAAACAGCAAAAAAGCGACGTTGCAAAATATCTTCGAACAAAAAATGGTTCGACAAAGAATGCCGCTATAAAAGACATGAACTGCGGAAACTTTCTAATCAAAAACATAGAGATCCTCTAAACACTACCCTCAGAGAAGAGTTTCACAACGTCTTAAAACAATATAAAAACCTTTTGAAACATAAGAGAAACGAATACTATAGCAATAAGATCTGTGAACTTGAAAATACGGTCGAAAATTCGAACAATAAGAGCTTTTGGAACTGTTTGAAGTCAATGGACGACACTATGAAGGAAACCTACACCCCTCCAATTTCTGAAGAAAAATGGATGTCCCACTTTCAATCTTTGCACTCGAATGAACCCCTTAATGAACAGCAGGAGGCAATTATAGATGAGTTGCAGAATTCAGAGGATATTACGTCACGATCTCACTCCTTGGATTACCTCATCACTGAAAGTGAAATTCGCACTGCAGTTGGAAAACTCAAAAACAACAAATCTTCTTTTTCAGACAAAATCAAAAACGAAATGATCAAATCTAGCCTAAACGAATTAATGCCTGTTTATCTAAAACTATTTAACACGATCCTCGACTTAGGAACTATGCCGCAAATGTGGTGTGATGGCCTCATTACACCAATTTTTAAATGTGGTACTAAAAGCGATCCATCAAACTACCGTGGAATTTGTATTTCCAGTTGTATTGGAAAACTATTTTGTTCAATTCTCAGTCAGAGACTTCTAAAGCACGTTGACTTAAATAATATACTTCACAAGTCTCAAATTGGTTTTCTAGCAAATAATAGAACAGCAGATCATGTCTTCACACTTCGAACATTAATAGACAAATATGTCCATTGTCACAAGGAGAAAATATATGCGTGTTTTGTTGACTTTAGGAAAGCCTTTGATTCGGTTTGGCATGATGGGCTTCTCTATAAGTTATCTAAGATCAATGTCCAAGGAAAGTTTTATAGTCTAATTAAGAGTCTATACTCGAAGTCTACCTGCTCTGTCAGGATTGGAAATAACAAAACGCGATCTTTTCAATACGCAAGAGGAGTGCGGCAAGGCTGCATTTTAAGCCCTCTGCTCTTTAACTTATACCTTAACGATCTAGCGTTCTCATTTGACAATGTTTTATCAGACCCCTTCGTGTTACCAAATGGCACCAGACTCAACTCTCTCCTTTACGCAGATGACTTGATAATATTATCGCGATCCAAACTTGGTCTACAAAACTGCCTTAACGTACTATCTTCATATTGCAACTCATGGATGCTTAGAATAAATCCTAAGAAAACCAAAATAATGATTTTTCAACGATGCACACGAAAATGTGAACATAACTTCCGCATAGGCAATGAAGTAATCGACGTTGTCCAAAACTATACTTACTTAGGAACTCGAATTACATCTTCCGGAAATTTTACACTTTCGCTTGAACATCTCCGACAAAAAGCTCTTCACGCGCTCTTCAGCCTCAGGCGACACACGGATTTGAATAATCTTAAGCCCTCACTTGCGTGTAAAATTTTTGACTCTATGATTTCACCAATTCTAACCTACAACAGCGAAGTTTGGGGTGCTTTTGTTAAATCAGATTTTAAGTCCTGGGACAGCTCTGCAATTGAAAAAACCCATTTGCAATTCTGTAAACGTTATTTACAAGTACATAACAAGGCATCCAACATTGCTTGTAGAGCTGAACTCGGTAAATTTCCCATGATCATTGATATAAATAAAAAGATTCTAAATTACTTAGACTATCTGAGAGGTAAGGATGAAGATTCTATAGTTAAACAGGCCTTACAAATTTCAATTGACCTTCATCATAACGGAAAAACTAGCTTTTACTCTAATCTCATGAAAATGGTTGACTACTATGATCTAAACTATGACTTTTCCTGTAATTCATTGAGTGACTCAATAGTTAATAGGTATATCGGCATAATGAAAAATAAATACGTCTCTTACTGGAATCAGACACTTCAACAATCACAAAAACTCAGTTTTTATTGTACAATCAAAGACGACTATAGCCCCTCGCCGTACCTAGTTTTAACAAGAAAAAACCCTTCGAGAAAAAAAATTAGTTAGATTTAGAATAAGTAGTCATCAACTTAGAATTGAAACAGGTAGATACGAAAACATTCCTCGCAATGAAAGGATATGTCACTTTTGTACAAGTAAGAAAATCGAAGATGAAAATCATTTCTTACTAGATTGTAAGGCTTATTCTCAGATCAGAGACATATTTTTCTCGAAACTAGAAACTAAAATACCTGACTTCAAATCACTTTCACACGATACTTTAATATCTCTTCTTATGAATTCTTCTGATTATTTAATTAACTGTCAATTAGTTTCATTTATCTCGCAATGCTTAGAATTAAGGACCAAATTAATATCAATGAATGAATGAATGAGAACTGTCACGTTTTGTAATGTTTTGCACGTACTAATTAGTTGAATTAGTACTTAAATTTAGATTAATAGCTTTCGCAATACTGTAATTCCTTTATGGTCATGCAAATAAAGCTTTTGGTGTTGTTGTTGTTGATTTCCCCTTACGAGCATTGAACCACCAAGCTGTTCTTTGGTTTTAAAATTTGGGATCACTGTTACTTGAGTTTTTAGAAGATATGGATTCGTAGAATTGAAAACCATCAAGGCTCTTTACAGATAAATTACCAAGCAATTTTTCTAGTGATCTACAAGTGTGGTACCATGGAGACTTTACTACTGGGGTTTTAGTTTTAGTAAAGTTTTGTTTTAAACTGGTCATCCTTTTTAATTTTGCTTGGACATGCTACGCTAAGGTGGCCCATTTTGCCACATAAGTAGCACTTTTGCTTGACCAGCCATTCTGGTTCATGTCCTTCGGACCGTCATTTGCCCAGTGACCTTGTTTATGGCACCAAAAACAAACATCGCTTGATTGCGTAGGTGAAGTCAAGTTTGCATTATGTTTCTCATTGAACTCTTTTTTAGCACTTGTCGTAAGGCAGACTCATCCTCTTCATGTTTTGGTGCAAGGCTATCTCTAGCGAAATATGTTACACAACTTCTTTTTGTAAATTTTCTAACCAAGCAGAAAGTACCTGAAAGTACTTGAAAATGGTGTCCAAAGTCATTGAAAAGGCTTTGGCAGTACAGTAAACAGCTTATGTTTCTTCCCAGCCACCACCAACATGAAGGGTTGAAGTCAGCTTACAAGCTCTAGCACTCTACTAAGACTTCACTTATCAGAGTGGAGAATAAAATTCTTTGTGTCATTGACAGTAACCATTCATTGATTCTTTTATTATTAGTTCTTTCTGTGGCTTTCGATACTGAAGATCATTCTCTATTCTGTTATCTATAAAAACAAAGAGCTTTTAATCCTGACAAGTTCACAATAGATAGTTACATTTTGTCATTTTTTCGTCTTGTAGTAGTGTCTATAATGCACACTTTACTCTTGCGTGGGTTTGGTTGACATAGCCTTCTGCGATTTATAGCTTTTCCTTGTTTCATTTTTGTTTAGTTTAAAAGTGTTCTATAATGATATATTAAACTTCAAAACTTTTACCGTTCAAGTAAATGACAAAGTAATTTAATTTATTATTTTATTAATCCAGATAACATTTTGTTAGGTTTGTCGATTGTTATGAACCAACGGT